CTCTCCCAGCACTGCTGCCGTCACAGGGCGGGGATCGCAGAGCAAACAAGCCCCATAGCACCAGCCTAGCCCCTCGAGCCGAGGGGTGCCCCTAGATCCGGGAGAGGGGCGGGAGCCGCAGCCAGTCCAGGACCCCGCCCCCGCCAGGCCCAGGCCAGGGCCAGAGAGCGCTAGTGTTCGATGGTGGGCGCGGACCTTTAAGACCCCTGGGCCGCACCGGCAGCGAAGCAAGACCCCCGCGGGGTCATTGCCACGACTTTACCTCCTTTTTCACGTTCCACAGCAGTTTCTCTTTGACTGCGTCCTCGGCGCTGCCCATGGTGCAGCGGGTGGCCGGGAGGCTGTGCCAAGCGGTCCCCCAAGCCTCTCGCGCGCCCTCACCGCCTCCGCGCCTCTCAGCTCAGCGCCCCACGCGCAAGGCGGAGCACCTGCCCGCCGCGCTCCCCGCCTGCCGCCGCTGCCGCCGCAGCCACTGCCCGGTGCTCGGCTCCGCAGCCATCTTCCGAGCCCCGCACAGACGTCAGGAAGCTGGCCCGGCCCCTTCCCACTGCCAGGGGCGGGGGGGTGCACTCAGCAACGGGGGATCCGCGCGGGGGGAGGCTGTGCGCGCTTGGGGGCGGCCAGCCCCAGCGCGCTCCACGCTGGCCGCTGTCATGGCAACGCGCCGGCTCCAGTCCCGAGGGGGTGAACCCGCATTGTGAGCGCCTGCAGCCGGGTCTCTAACAGAGACCAGCCGGGAGGCGGGGCGCGTCCTCGACTCCGCGGTTGAGAGAAAAAGTCGCTCGCGCTGGAGTTGGCTTCCATTCAGCTAGATGCTCCCTGATTTCTACCCGCTCATTTTCCCGACGGGAAAGGCCAGGAGCTGCTTCTAGTCTGACCACGAGGGAAGGCAGTAGTAGTCTCCTGGCTGAGAAAAGCCCGAGCTCCATAGTTGCTCTAAACCCCCTGACAGCCAGTCGCCCTCATTGCAAAGCTGGTGGGTAGAGGAGTGGGAGCGCAGCCACTCCGAGGCTAAAGAGGCTCAGCCAGCCCTTCCTCCTTCGTAGGAGTTGTCCTGTATGTGGGAGGTTGGAGCACCGGTTGAGGTAACGGGGTCCCGCTGGAACTTATATCGAGCCCGTGAAGGTGAAAGAAGAACCTCCCACACGATTTGTCTTGTAGATTTCAGCAGCCCCACAGGAAATCGAGGGAGAAAATGTTGCTCAAAGTTATAAAGAACACCTGCTGCTGCAAACTGAACAGCGGCGTGCAAAAAACTAGGTGAGAGGGGCTGAGCCCTCTTCTGCGCGAATGGAGAATCTTCCATTTAACATCTTCCTAAGTGATGCAACTTGATAGGGCAAAAAAAAAAAAAAAAAAGAAAATACAAGGGAGCAAAACAGCCCTCCGGGACTGAGAGCCCGAACTTTGAGTCTACATCCGGAATTTTAAAGCCCCCAACCGCAGACCACCGCGTGGGAAAACTTTACTAGGCAGTTTTGTGGAGCCTCGGGAGCCACGGAAGCCACAGAAAAGACCTAATGGGAAGGAGCCTCGCGAGAATTGGAGGGGAGCCCTGCCCCGCCCCACCACGGGGAGGCCACGCCCTAAGGAGGGGGACCGGAAGCACTCTCTCAGGCCCGGAAGTAGTGTTGACTTGGTACACGTGAGTGGCAGGATGGCGGCTCATCGCTCTGGCCCGCTCAAGCAGCAGAATAAAGCTCATAAAGGAGGGCGACATCGGGGTCGGGGATCGGCGCAGCGAGACGGCAAGGGTGAGAAGATAGGGTTGGAGGAAGAAGAGCTGTTTAGTCGATTTTAACTGCTTTTCTCCATGTCCAGACTCAGATCCTGCCTCCGGCCTGGGCCCCGTGTAAAGGCTCTTAAGTTGGGCGGAACGGGGTCCCCATTCTTGACCTTCTTCTGGGACCGTGCACAAGAGCCATATCTGATCTCCCTCCAGGCCGTCTAGCACTGAAAACCCTAAGCAAGAAGGTGAGGAAGGAACTCAGCAGAGTAGACCAGAGGCATCGCGCTGGCCAGCTCCGAAAGCAAAAGAAGGAGGCGGTGAGAAATGATCAGGGGATTGGGAATGGTGTGGCTTCACAGTCATTCTGGGCTGATAATACCTGGAACTAGAAAATGTGACCCTAGGAAAGGGCCGGAGATGGAGAATAACTCTAGAGCACGTGTCAAGTGTGCAGGTCTAGACTCATACTAGAGCATTTTTTGCTTTAGTCCGAACTCCTGTCCAACACCCTCACCCCCGCCATACTTGCTGCTTTTTACGAGAGATGCTGGGGGTGGGGCATCCATACTGTTGGAATTGCATTACTGGAACGAAGTACTGAAACAATGAAATGTTCTCTGATCCTTTTTATTCTCAGGTTCTGGCAGAGAAGAGACAGCTGGGCAGCAAGGATGGCCCTCCTCATCAGGTACTGGTGGTTCCCCTGCACAACAGGATTTCCCTGCCAGAGGCCTTTCAGCTGCTTCAGGATAGGGATACAGGAACAGTACACTTGAATGATTGGGGAAGCACCCACAGCTTTATGCTCTTATGCCCCTTCTTGAAACATCGGTGGTTTTTCACATCTGCAAGCCCAGGTTAGTGTATACAACAATATTTTCCATTATGTTTTGAGTAGTGATAATATTTTTTTTAGTATAATGTGGTGGTGTCAACCACCTCCTCCTTCTTTGTCTTTTATCTTTAGGTGATTTGCACACTGTGTTAGACTTGGCTAAAGTGACTGATACCATCCTGTTCCTCCTTGATCCACTAGAAGGCTGGGACAGCACCGGGGATTATTGCCTTTCCTGCCTCTTTGCTCAGGGCCTTCCCACCTATAGTAAGTGTGTTGGGAATATTGGAGGCCATGTGGAAGTGAATTAGCATTTATTGTGCACCTGTAATTTGCCAGGCACTGTGCTTGACACTTGATACAGGAATACAACTGGTTGTATACAGCTGATGGTGGATTGTACATGTATGGCCTAAACTTGGTCCATTATTTATAAATTATCAAGGTACCTTTTTTATTTTTTTCTGGATTGCCCTTTGTCTAGAGATAGAAAAATATAGAATTTGGTTTTACTGTGAAGTTTCTTTAGGGTAGGTGAGTGTTGAGTTTCCCAGTGATCTCTGGGCTCACAACTGTTAGCTTTTTTGTGAACTTGCAGCAAGGGAGATTTTCATGTGTTGAAGCAACAGGTCATGAAGCCTTTTCTTTTTCGCTCACAGCATTAGCTATCCAGGGGATTTCTGGCCTCCCGCCGAAGAAGCAAATAGATGCCAGAAAGAAGCTAAGTAAAGTAGTGGAGAAGCGCTTTCCTGATGACAAACTCCTCCCGTTAGACACTCAGCAGGAGGCAGGGATGCTGCTCAGGCATTTGGCTAACCAAAAGCAACGGCATCTTGCCTTTCGAGATCGGCGGGCCTACCTCTTTGCTCATGCTGCTGACTTTGAACCTAATGAAGAGAATAACTTGGTGGGCACCTTGAAAATCTCAGGCTATGTCCGAGGGCAGACTCTCAATGTAAATAATTTGCTGCATATCATTGGACATGGTGATTTCCAGATGAAACAGATAGATGCCCCTATGGACCCTTTCCCTTTAAATCCTAGAGTGATCAAATCCCAGAAGGACCCAGGAACAGCAATGGAGGTAAGACTGATGTTCTTAAACACTGTATTGTAGATTTATGTATAAGCTGGTTTAGGATGGGAACTAATTTTAGAGAAGGTAGTTTGCACACCTAGACAACTACACTAGTCCCTGGAAGTGACTGCTAGTTTGAATTAAGGAATACAAATATGTTGCTATATTACATATTTATCCAGTACTTTGCAGTTGCCTTCCACAGTAATTGGCTCTGAGTTTATAGAAGACACAAGGTGCAGTCTCTTTCCTTAGACAATTGAGTTAGGAAAAAAAGAAAAGCAAACACTCATGAAGTAAAGGTTGAGAAAGTGTAGAGGTACAGACCTGCTGTGGAAGTTGAGAAATTTGACTAGCAAGCTTCACAGAGGAGATCAGACTTGAGCCAGGTGTCGAGAAGGATGAATGTGATATGTGAATTGAAGAGAGATGAAAGAATATTCTAGAAGACAGAGACAACAAGAACCTAGCATAATAATGGATCAAAGAGTTTCTTTGAACTCTGAAGAAATCAGCTTGATGGAAGTAAGGTATGTAATATGTGGTTAGGAGTGGGGTCAGATTAGAAAGGCCTCAAGACCCAAGCAGAGGTATAGACTTAAAATGCTAGGAAATAGAATCATTTGAAAAAACTTGACAAGTTTTGACTTTCTGTTTCATTCTACTTTATTCATATACTTGAGGACTGTGTTATTTCTGGATCTCTCTGGTTAGATTAGTAGCTTTTTGGTTAATGTTTGATCATGACTTTTGGTTTTTAGATTTGTGCTATGGATGCTGTAGCTCATATGGAAGAAGATCTTAAGGTCCTAATGAAGGCAGACCCTGAAAGACAAGAATCTTTGCAAACAGAGGTTATCCCAGATCCGATGGACGGGGAGCAAACCTGGCCCACTGAGGAGGAGCTGAATGAGGCAAATGGTCAGTAATGGCAAAGTTGTTTGTAATTCATCTGGCCTGGACTTGTGGATTTTGTATAGCTGCTCACAGTCAGGACCCTATAGAGTGTGATGAGGATATATTTTGGAGGTCTCTCTCCTCTTCTCACCCCCGAATGCTATATGTTTGCATTAAGCAAACATTAAACACAGCTCTGTTCCACTTCTCATAATTACTTGTTGTTTTCTAATGAACAGATAAACAACTTCGGATTCATCGCAAGGTGTATTTAGTTGTGTAAGTATTGCTAGTTTTGAGACAGCTGAATTAAATTTGGAAGTGTTTTGCTCTTAGTGTCTGCTAAAGTTTCTGGTGTTGGCAGCAATGCCTAGTGTCTTATCTAGGTGAGGATACACAAAGTAATTAGGGAAAGGAGGTATTTAATTTACTTATTTGGGCTTTTACAGACTTCCTGAAGGAAAGTTCTAAGGTGGTGAAGAAGGTTCCCAAAGGAACATCCAGTTACCAAGCTGAATGGATTTTGGATGAGGATGGTGAAAGTGGTGGAGAAGGAGATGAATATGATGATATAGAACATGGGGAATTTATGGAAGAGGAATCTCAGGTAAGGAAATAGACCCTTAGACCACTTCTATGTACAGCCCCAAGTGCAAAGGAAAGTGCAATTCTGACCTTGAGGGGTGTGTGGTCACTTTCTTAGGAATGACTGTAGTTTCTGGGACTGAGACTATCTTATAACGAAGTCTTTTAGAATTGATACTGGTTTGGACTAGGTGTCTATTAAAGTTATTTTATTTTTGGCTTAATGGCTTTTAGTGTAGAGATAGGTGTGGGTTTTTTCCTGAATTTGTGATGCTTTATTCTGCAGGATGAGAGTAGTGAAGAGGAAGAAGAGGAATGTGAAACTATGACTGTAGGAGAGTCCGTGCGTGATGATCTGTATGATGAGAAAGTGGATGAAGAGGCTGAAGAAAAAATGTTGGAGAAATACAAACAAGAAAGACTGGAAGAGATGTTTCCAGATGAAGTAGATACCCCACGTGATGTGGCTGCTAGAATTCGGTTAGTCAACGAGTCTAAAATCAATGTTTTTACTTACACCTTATGTGGCTCAGAACTATATCAGTGTGATGCAAAAAAAGAAAAATGCATTGTCTCTGCTCCTGAAGAGCTAACATTCTATACAGGTAGCAGTAATATATTATCAAGTTCTAGACCGTGTGGTATAGACTGTTACAGTACTTGATGAGAAATGTTAAGGTTAATTAACAAATGTTTCCTATGTGAACTAATGTTCAGTTGAAATATATAATGTTTAGCGAGTTGGGGGAGTTTGGGTGGACCACAAGAATTAAAACATGAAGGTGTAGATGACCATTTCTGCCTTGGAGGTGAGTCTGACTACACCTAGAGAGTTTATGTTGGATATTAGATGTAGGGCTTTTATCAAGGACCATATTTGTCACGTAGACACTCCCTGATAGGTACCAGGGGGCCACTGTAAATACCTGTCCTTTGTCAGTGAGAAGCTTGGGTTTGGTTCTGAAATATTTGTTAAAAGCTGTTTTCAACTATGGTCTTGGCTTAGGCTGTTAGGTTATTTCGAGAGAGAATGATAAGAGATCTTTAAGTTAGAGCCTTAGCCATATTATTGACTTGAGTGAAAGGGTAAGTCGCAGCATATAAATTTACTATTTCTTTAAAATCTATATTCTAGATTTCAGAAATACAGAGGCCTTAAGAGCTTCCGGACTTCTCCATGGGATCCTAAGGAAAACCTTCCCCAAGATTATGCGCGGATCTTTCAGTTTCAGAACTTTACTAATACTAGGAAATGCATCTTTAAAAAGATTGAGGAAAAAGAGTACGAGGGAGCTGAGGTATATGCCTTCCTTTATCCATCCCTACAATTTGCTTTCATTTGCCAAGGTGCCCTTCCTTTACTCCTTCTCAAATTGGCAGGAGTACCTTGTTTAGTTTTGTGCTGCCCATAGCTTAATTAGTGGAGCCACTGAGTCATTGTTAAGTGTTATATTGGGAACAAAGAGGCATCAGAGATGTTAACTGAAAAAAGTTGAATCTGGGTAGTTGGGGCATCTGTGAAAGGCAATTTTGAAGGGTGAGGGTTGGCTTTAGGGAAGTAGGAGACTTTTAACATATTGGACATATGCGTCATCATTATTGAGGCCTGAAGGGTAATTATATGATTGTTTTCTGCTTTCTTCTGGCAGGTTGGCTGGTATGTCACACTTCATGTCTCTGAAGTACCTTTCTCTGTGGTTGAGTACTTCAAGCAAGGAGCACCCTTGATTGCAATTTCTTTACTACCTCACGAACAGAAGGTGAATTTATTTCCCACAATTGTATCTGTGGGAAATGGGAGTTATGAAACTTTCCAAATAGTTTTGTCAGTCTAAAATTTTATCTTTGACTGACATTTTGTTCATTAGGATGTGAAAAATCTGCCTTTAGGATTAGAAATCAGAGAACAGAGAAGTCAATGATGGTTTTATCCAACGTGTCTGAACCTGTCTGAAGCTTCTCAGTGATGCAATCTGTGTGGTTCTGAGACTTCTCTAAGTATGTTTGTCAGATCAGATTTTAACCAAAGGTTGTCAGCCTTAAAAAATAAGAGCATTTATGCCAAGGTGTAGATCTCTTTTCTCTTGGCCAGCAGTCATGTAGATTGGTGAGAACTTTGGCCTTTAGTCAGTGTAAGGTTTGAGAAAGAAGGGGCTTGAATGAGTATGTTTTTGAGTTGTGTGGTGAGTGAGTGGCTTGAAGGCATTGACCACGTGGCAGACGTTCAGCTAGCTCTTGCATGTTAGATGCAGGAATGTTGACTAATAGAGAAGTACATGAAAGCTCTGAAAACCAGACTATGTTCGGCTCAAATGACAGTTGTTGGTGGAAGTAAAAGACAAATCTGCGTCTCATCATCTGTACTCTACTATAAATTAGCATTGTCAATCCTTAGAGTGAATCTGAATACGTTAGTTTGGTTTGCCGCCTTTCAGGTTAAGCTGTTCTCTGCCTAGATGTGAAGTTGTTTTTCTTACCTGGTCCCCAGATGTCAGTACTAAATATGGTGGTGAGCCGACACCCTGGCAACACTGAACCTGTGAAAGCTAAAGAGGAGCTGATCTTCCACTGTGGGTTCAGGCGCTTTCGAGCCTCACCTTTATTCTCTCAGCACACTGCAGGTAAGCAGTGGGAAACCATCTGGATTATTGTCCATCTCGTCTTTTGGAGGACTGTGACTTTTGGTGGGTAAGGGCAGAGTACACAATTTCAAACTAAGTCTCTGGGTTAGAGACATTTTCAGTACTCTGGTGTAGAAGCCAATGATGTATTTATTCAAAATGTCTGAACCTGTCTGAAGCATCCCAGTGATGCAACCTCTGTGTGGTGCTGAGGCTTCTCTGCCATGAGTATTTGTTCCAGAGTAAGTTTTGAATCAGAGTTGGCAGCTTTAGAAAAATGGTGTCAAAGTGGCACAGCATTTGATATTCCAGTGGCAGTGTTGTTGATGGGTGGTCCACAGCTGGGTAAAGCAGATTGTAGCTTCTGAGATGTTGAAACTGGATGAGAGTTTGGAAGTGGTGACCAGGGACACTTTTGTGGTAAAAATTATTGTACTCTTACACATTAGGAGTGGGAGGTGTTTTGTTCTAACTTGGGCTTCTGAACATTACCTACACTCAGCTTTCAGCAGTGGCAGAAGGAAAATGATGAAGGCAGAATGGGTGCTCTGGATAATTTCTGTTCTCACCAGCCATGCTGTCTGAATGAGGGACTAACTTTACTTTCCTTTAAAATATTTTATTTCCCTGTAACTTCAATATTTAAAAAGGAGGGTTTCACCAAAGGTAAAAACAGAAACCCCAAGATTAGAGGTCAGCAAAGTATGGCCATTGGGCCAAATCTGTCCCACTGTTCAAGTTTTGTTGGAACACAGTTGTGTGTATTTTTTTAATGTATTGTCTGTGGTTGAGTAATCAGCAGACACTGTATGGCCACGAAGCCTAAAATATTTCCTTTCTGGCCCTTTATAGAAAATGTTTGCCAATCCTTACTCAAAATGAAAAGCTGCTGAATTACTGGACATATATTCTCTATAAAACACTGATTCTCAAATGAGGTAGGGGTGGTGGGTATCAGAATCACCTAGAGAACTTTTTCAAACTGAAAATACAATCTAGGCTCTAAGATTCTGCCTCCAGTTGAAAAATCATTCTAAGAGGATTGGGTTGTATCTTTTAGTTATTTTGAGACAGGAATATATTTTGAGAACTAGTGGGGTAAAGGAACACAAGTTGCCTTGAGTTTAAGAGGTGCAGTTATGTAGCTTTTCACATTCTGGATTAGTTTTAGTTTCTCAAAATGACTGGTTTTTATTTTTTAACCCTTATTATGGCAGCGGATAAACATAAATTTCAGAGATTCCTGACTGCTGACACGGCCCTGGTGGTGACAGTATATGCCCCAATCACTTTTCCTCCTGCATCTGTGCTGCTTTTCAAACACAATAGCAATGGTGAGTTCACAGAGGTAAACAGACCTGCAGGTCCCTAATAGATTTAACACGGTTTTCTGTATTTAGATTTGGAAGCCAAATGGTATGAAGAGGGTAATGGTGGTTTTCAGAATATTCCAGTCTCAGCCTCATAGTGGGTCTAAGGCAGGGATGACAAATGGGATTTGATCTTACTTGTAAACTTTAGCTACTTGGTAGAGGCTGCTCAGAGTGCTATATTTAGAACAGATTCTGGAGACAGGCTCAGCAGGTATGACTTAG